CAGATAGATGAGGTGTCTCCTGGGCGGGGGATCGGATCCCGGGGGTCTGGTGGGGAACGCCGCAGCCGCTTCCTGTCTGCTGCTGCTGCTGCTGCAGCTGCTGCTGCAGCTGCTCCGGTGCTGTTGCAGCAGCAGCAACCTGCATACACGCCACACAAACAGAGACAAATGCAGCAGCAACACAACCCAAAAGACAGCAGCAAACGCACTAAGTACAGCAGCAGAAACATCACCAGCAGCAACAGCAGCAGCAAGGGATGGAGACACAAGCAGCAGCAAAGGCAGCAGCAGCAGCAGCAGCAGCAGCAGAGAGGGAGTGCGAAGGTAGAAGTATCTGCTGCTGTTGCTGCGAAGCCACCAGCAGCAGCATCCAGAAGCAGCAGCAGAAGCAGCAGCAGCAGCAGCAAGAACATCGTTGTTGTTGCCTACCTCGGCTGTGTATAGGCGCTTTGCCGCAGAGGCGGGGGCCCCCAGAGCAGCAGCAGCAGCAGCAGCAGCAGCAGCAGCAGCTGGTGTCAGTGAGTTCCTGCAAGAGGTCCGCTCGGGCTCGGTGGCTGGGGAGCATCAGAGCGAGGGCCCCCTCAAAGGCAGAGAAGAGGGGGCCCCCCTTTTGCTGCTGCTGCTGCAGCAGACGGCAGCAGCAGCAGAGCCTCGCCAGGTCCCCCCCCGTTAAGAAGGGGCCCACATGGTACAGCGCAGCAGCAAAGTCTGAGAGCTGCCGGGGGGCCCCCCATACCCTCTCCAGGGGCGGGGGGCCCCCTGTACCCTCTTTCATATTCATAGCAGAGCTGCTGCTTCACTCAGCATACAACACGGGGCCCCTAGGGGGGCCCCTGGGGGCCCCCGGGGGGCCCCTGGAGAGGCCCCTTGGGGGCCCCTGATGGGGGCCCCTACAGAGCCCTCGGTGCTGCTAGGACAGCCCACAGATCGGCCTGGTGTGTGTAGAGGGGCGTTGGAGCTGTGCATGCTGCTGCTGTTGCTGCTGCTGCTGCAGGCACAGCTTGCCTTCTCCTCTCCCCCAGTTCAATATATAAC